CACGTCAGAGTCTCCAAAAGTCTCCAATAACACTAGAAAAAGTCGCTAGATTTGTCGCTAGTCGCTTTTTTGAAAACGAGTCGCCAGAGAGGTCTAATAACTCGCTAAATATAGCGACAAAATCGCTAAGTTGGCAACACTGATAGCGGGGGCGCGATAGCTGAACCGCTATATAGCAGGGGATCACTGTACTTAGTTTTTTCAAGGCAATCGGTTTCCTAGATTTTTTTAAGAACAACTTGTCAAAATTTACAGTGTAGCTGTTAATTGTCATTGCAGAAACATCAGCAACACAACAACCAGCAAAGCAAAATATCCTTGTTTTATACATTTTACAATAATTATAACGAAACTGGCCATTTCTCAAAAACCTTACATGATGTGAAGTATTTCTGTGATCAGCATCACAAAATCTATCCGGCAAAACAAACTATAAAGGAAACAAAACTTTATAAACCAGCATAATCTTGTAAAATTAAAATATAAATTGAACAATTAAAGCAAATAAATTTGACAATAAATTCAAAATCGATATTAAACTTCATGAATTGTGTCTTAAGGCTGTTTTCTGTTCTGTGCTCAGCATTTCAGGAATAAACACACTCTTCACTTAATTCCGGCATAGACAGTATCCTGTGCATCCTCTCCTCTTTTTTGGTCTCGCTTCTTGGGTGATTTAAACTTCACTGATACATACTGGACCTCATCAGGTTTTTCCTGTTGAGAAAAGAAAAACACAATAATCACAATAATATGTTCATGATCATCTAACAGTAGTCCAGTCAATGTAAGACATTTAGCAAGCTTATTTTGCTAAATTAGCATGTCTGATTAAGCAGAGACACTTTCCCACTGTGGTCTGAAGGCCACAGAAAGCCCTGTCAGTGACAGTACCTGATCGTGTCGGCTGGTCCTGCTTTCCTTCTGCTGTGACTCAGAGCTCTTTCTCAGCGGCGCTGAAAGAGTTAAGAGTGACGTCATTCACAGAGTGCACAGGGTGCTCTACCAGCCCTGCTGATAAGGGCTGCTGCTCTCACACTGTCTCACTGCACCTTGCATGCTGGGCATGCTTGTGTTAGGGAGAGACTGGCTGCAGGTTTGAGGTTTTAAAACAGGAAACACAGAAAAACGATGGTCAGACATAAAGATTTCCAGCCACAGATGCCTGAATATTTATAAATTCCTAATATTTACACCATGGCAGCTGATACTGTGTGTAACTGGCACTTTCCCTGCTCAGCAGTCCTGGAGGTGTGACCCACTGAGCCCCACTGGCCTTTAGCTAAAGAAGAAAGTCAGAGTTACACTGTATCACAGTGAATTAACACACAGCCCACAGGAAGTGTATAGTGTCTGTAACTGAAAGACTGCACATCTGTTATGGCCCAGTCTAGGGCTGAATGAGATGCAAAAGGACCAAACAGACATGGAATACAGAACACAGTGACATCAAACATGTCTGACCTTTGTTATGACAGAAATAGCAGCAGAGTGATGAGATGGTACCAGTGAGAAGGGCGACACAAGGCAGGAGAATCCAAGGCAGGAGGTCAGGGTTAGTACTGTCTGGTGTCTTGAGCGTCTGGAGATGGTGGGGAGTGGACTGGCCTCCAGGATGGTCTGTAAACAGAGTATAAACATCATCACTTTTAGGATGATAAGCAGTGATCTGTGTTATTAACATGCATTACCTGTAATTCACATCAAAACCTTCTTTTTGATAACCTGCGTATTACACATAGATATATCATATGCCTTAATTTTCATATGTACTCTAACAGTTCCATATTGTCACACACAATGCCCAGTCACCTTAATCTGAATCACTCACTGCTAAATTACCATTGAATTTCAGCTTTGTACAGTTTCCAAACTCATGATCTTTCTTCTGGATGCAGCAGTAGATCAACAGATCTGCCTTAGTGATGTTCTTTAGCTCCAGACTGTGTGTGTCAGAGACAGAAACAGCAGTCAGCCTCTCTCTGTATACATCTTTGGTGTTAACGAGGCTCATCTTATTCGATGTGTATTGCAGATCCGTGATTCTGGCTGGTTTGTGGTCTGACTGCAGGGAAAACCAGGAAACCTCCTCATGTACAGAAATCCCACAAGGCAGAGTGGCATTTTCTCCAGACTTGACCACCATCACCTCAGTCTGGGTCACCAGAGCAGCACTGCAACCTAGAGACACAGAAAACATAGTAAATATGATATTAATAAAGGCTGAATTAAGCTATGTTTTAAAGCGTCTGTTGTGTTGATGATTCTGCATTAAGATCCTGTGGTGTATCAGACACCATGTCTTACAGGTTACCTTTTGTACTGAACTCACGCTGACTGAGGAAACACATCCCTGCATCCTTTTGTCTGCAGCCTGATAACCACGGTTCACACAACCAAGGTTCCAAAAAGCAAAGCTCCCTGTATAATACGTCACATCACCCCCCTTTTTAATATGATGGTGCAGGATCCAGTTACTCTGGCATATTGTAGTTTGAAGTCAAATTCAGGTATAACAATTAATTCTGAAGCCACAATTAATAAATAAATATTGTTTACAATTAATATACAGTACTGTGCAAAAGTCTTAGGACTTAGGTCTAAGTCAAAGGAAATGTTTGAAGCTATTTATCTGAGTAGTAAGCATATATGTGCTCAGAAAAAAGTTACTGACATCTAGTTGGATGGCTAGATGAATACTTCATGACTGCTTCAGTTCCCAAACCTCTCCTCAGGGTCACACCCGTCATTCCATGTATTTGTTACATTTTACATCTAGCATGATTAATTAATTAAGTGATTTAGTTTGAAAGCATCTATGAGGTGTTGATTAACCGTACAAAGTACGAAGAGAGGACTGAGCTCATCTCCCCGAAAGATGCCTCTTTTGATGTATATTGTATTTGTTTGTGTAATGTTGTTCTCCAGTGTCCCATCAGTGTCTGCAAGAATTGTATGAGTGTAGGATGTATCCTGTATATTCATGATATCTGTATTAGCCATGTGTGGGACACTGTCAAAAGCTTTTCTGTAATCAGTGTTGGCAGTGTGGGATTCAATAGAATTATAAAGAACATACAATGAATAGAGGAAAAGGAGAACATAGCTTAAAGTAGGACATGATGAAAGGGGGGGGGGGTTCATTCTAAAAAATGCAGTTAACTGAAACGAGAACTGACTGGCGCTGGCAAGGCAAGGTTACCTAATTGGGACCGATAGAGGGGGCGACAGAGAACATCAGCGGCCCCTACTAATCTTTTAGCCTTCCACAAGGACAAGTACTAACCGACTAACTAGAGCAAATGTCAAACATGTGGTTGTCACTTAGACGGAAGGTACCGAGAGAGGGGGGGAGATGCCCAAAGGGCTTTAAAAGGGATACAGCTGGTACATATGGCAGAGCTTCCTCCTGTACATGCTGAATGTATGTCAGATGGTCGCTCCCGGATTATAATCTGTCAGAGAATAAACAGGTGACCTGCAACTTCTCCACGTCTCAGCTGTGAATCTCTTCTTATCAACGAACCCGGTGGAGACGGCGTTACTCCAACAGCACCATGTAGATGTCTGTGCTTTTTGTATGCCTGAGCACCACAGAATCAATCAGAAGTTGTTTACAGCCCATGTGTTTCCCCGACATCCTTTTTGTTCTTCTGTGAGCATGTTGTTGTCTGTGATAGTGTATATTTTGTTACTTATACTTGTACCTTGTATAAAGTAGGAAGGCATGTGATGGGTCTGTAGTTCGTGGGATCTGAGGTTTCTTTGTTTTTTAGTTTCATGTATGTAATCCCCTATGTTAGGAACTGTGGTGTGTCTTCTGGATTTTGTATGACGTGTGAAATGTGCTATGAGTGAGTGCAAAGTGTTAAACCTGTTTGTACCAGAAGTTGTGTATTCCATCTACACCAGGTGCTTTTCAGTTATGAGTTTTGTTTATTATTGTGCCAGCAGTCATTATCTGTTCAAAGGGCGTTGTCGTAATTATATTTATTTGCTCTTCTTCCTTGGTACATGAGGCATTGCTATTACGCTCTACTGCATTGGACCAGACGGAGGACCAGTATTGTTTGAGGCTGTCCTGTGTAGGGGGGTGTAGGG